AAAATTAAAATATAATTCAAAAAATCATGAAAATTGCTCTAAATGGTCATATGATATTTAACAATAATATAAAATTTTCTTAAGGACAGAGAACATGTTTTGAATAATTAAATCAATTACATTGAAAATTCATAATTATGGGATAAAATAATTATAAAAATAAAATAAAAGTAAAAAAAATTCTTCTCTAATGTCTTAATTAGTCCATCAGTAAAAGGTCAGTAAAGTTTCACGATCATTTGATTAAAAATATAAGAGTTATGAGGTGTAAACCCAAAGGGTATTGTTGTAATTTTGCAATTTTACACCCTAACCCTAATTTAATCAAATTTTTAGGTTAAACCAGAAGAGAAAGGAAGAGAAAGGCATTAAATTAAGATGATTAACCTACTGAAGTGATTGAAACAAAAAAAAGGTAAATGAGGTAGTAACCCATTCATGACTTTTTTATAACCGGATAAAATTATAATTACTTAAATTGTTGTGTTTAGGAAGAGATAAGAAGTTAGATAATCCAAGAGTGAGGGGGGTGAGTTATAATTTTTGTAATTCACTAATTTTTTAGTCCCCAATCAATGTTCAAGCTAAACTCAATCCTTCAATAAAAAGCAAGCACACTTTACAAAACTTTCCAAAAAATATTTTAAGTTTACACTTAAGCTTTAAGAGCTTGATAGTGAAATAGGATTGATCAAATACCATTTAAGGAATAGTTGAAGAAGAAATTATAAGTGATAATAGAGTATCTTAAAACACTAGAAGCTCAAATCCAATTGAGGGATAAGAGTGTAAGTTCCTCGATGCTTTGCAACAGCACCATTAGGGTTTTTTCCATATGACCTTTACCATAATGTCAAGAATTGACCAATACTCTTACTCATGGGTTGACTAATACACAAAACATTGAGCACAATTCAAAACATGACAATGCACAAATTGATCAACTCAATAATATAACAAGGCTAGAGAACTTGGAAAAGTCTAGGCGATTCTAAAGTTTATTCAGAGTTAACCTCTGAATATCTTTATGAGATTTTGGATATTTCATAGGACATTTGGGCTTATTATGTTTTGTTGAGGAAACTCAACCTTAAAATATAAAAACCACTAAAACCAAACAAAAAATGAATCATTAAGGACCCATCAAGATATGATCTGGGACCCTTTAAATTAGCATACATTAGTGAGAATTATCCTATCACCACTTAACCTATAGTAAAACCCAATGCTCAAAGGTATGAGTCTTGGATATGGTATTCAGACCCTTGTGGGAAACTAGGGACATTTAAAGCATGACTACTTATAGGTCATACGGCTAGTGTAAGTTGGTTGTTTTTATGGCACGAACGCTGATGAGAAAGGCACCTGGTGATCAATTTGGGATGGCAGAACAACATTATATCTCCTGACCCGAGGACCTTATGAGGGTACAGGGTTGGCATTACTATTCACTGACATTTGACACGAAATAACCCTTGCTTTTTTAGGTTGTCGGTGGTTCTGGCTCACAATGTAATTGACTTTTGGATGGTGACAAAACAATTGTATTTCTTATGAAACTAATATTTTTATAGACAAGTGAAAATCTACCTTATTTATATGCTTGACAAATTATAATTTTAGTGTACCTTCTAAATATCCACTTGTCAGTTACCTGGCTGGGCTAGCACCTACCCTCCTTTAATCATCTTGTTTGTAATTTCTACTCAATTTCAGACTTTATACACATAGATTGTAGATGGTTACTAACGAATTCTTTCGGGAATGATAATTCTAAGTCCACCCCATAACTTGAATTGTTTACACTCAGCCCCGATCTTTTATATGGGTTTATTTAACTTGATTCACCTATATGCGCTTACTTGAATTTTATTTAAATATTTGAATGTTATGTTTACAATGTTAACCTTTTAACTGCAGCGTCGGGGGTGACAGGTACCCACTATCATTTTTTTTCTTTTTACTACATTTTTCTTTTCTTTATCATACTTTATAGCATGTTTTACTTATGTATAATTTAAAATACTTGCAAAGACCTCTTATACCCCTTAGGATAGAGAACTGTAGGTCATATGTTTAGGGGAACACTACAACAAGCTTTGTGACCCAAGTATAATTACAATTTCAATTATAAACCCTTAACCATCACAAGGAGTTTGGGGCCAATTGTCCGGGAAGTAGGACAGGGGTGTAGACGGATGGAGGTTGACTTCGAATGACAAAAAAAGAAGCAACTGAACTTTCCTTAGTTTTAAATAGCATAAACTCATAGACCTTTGAGGTCATCTTTCTAGTAATACATAAATCCTCACTTTATCTCTTAGGCTTCTGCATAATCATGTTGCACAATACAGGTCCTAACTCTTTTTTATGAGTCTGAGATTGTCTATGTGGTACGACATAAACTCTCCTATCTTATTAGGCTATTTGCAGGACCAGTGCAAATGTGAGCCTTAATTTTAAATAATTGGTAAAAGTAAATATCAAATAAATATTATTTCTGAAATATAAAGCCAAACAATAGGATAGTTTGGGAAGTCATCTAGATTCTCTTCAAAATCTATGACGTCCCCTACTTCTCACTCCTTTGATTTCCAAAATAACTATACCACATTGAGCCCTTCCTATTTGAATTTCAAACAATCATGGAAACTATATGTTGAAATCTTGAAGAAGATACCCTTGATCTTAATCGAGAGTTTTCATGGGTGATTTTGGTTGCCTAAGTGGTAATTATTTAATGGGGGCTTGCCTCTATAAAAAATTAGGAACCTAGATAATCTTTACCCTATCTTATTTATATATTAGGTAAGGGGATTATTTGTCACAAGAATTCACATACTTAATAGATATCGTGAATTTCTTAGTTTAAATGGTTGAGTCTACTAACAAGTGATATGCTCATCTCTCAGGGTGGTGTAGTACTTTTGATATTGTGCTAAACTATCTAAACTATTAAGTGTATGAGATCTATTTGGTCTCATATTTCAAAATCAAACTGTTATTTTCAAAAAAAAAATTATATATACATACTAAATTAAATTAAAACATAATTTTCATAAAAATCGATCGGCAAATTTTGGTGACTCCACTGGGGAATAATTTTTCTCTCCATCTTTGGTCAGGTGATTTTGCATTCATACATTGGTAGTGTGTCTATGTCCCTTGTGGACCAGACTATTGTTGGCATCAATTTTTGGATGTCATAGGCGTAAGTTGTCCACATGCGATCGACGAAAATTAGTTATCGCGTCATAGGATTTTGGCTTGAATTGGCCCGATCACTTGACGAAGTGATCCCGAATGACTCCAAACGCGAAACGGACCACGCGAATGCGTCCGGAATGTCGATTTCACTTATGGGGGATGTTCACTTCGCTACGGCTTCGCGGGCGGCGCAAAAGCGGAGCAAAAATGGGCAAATTATCGTTTCAAGAACAATCGTAAAAAAAGGTGGCCCAAATGACCCCGAATGACAAAACGGACTGCGCCAATGCGTCCGGAACATCGATTTTAGCCCAGAATGACATTCACTTCGCCGCGAGGACGTATACGGGTGAAGAAACACGAACAATAATTATAATAATATAATAATAATTATTATTATAATATATTATATTATATTATTATATATATAAATCCTTTTAATCGCTCTCTCCCTTTGGTTCGCGACATAGAACCGCTGCCACCCTCCATTTCGCGAAAACTACTCGCGTTGTCGCTCCCTTCGGCCGGAGGCTCGCCCCCTAGGTCGGCGACGCCGCCG